TATAAACACTAATCGAACAAGAATTTTATAAAAACGATATAAGCAGTTTCTCAATATGGATCACAATACCGAATCATTCTCAGAGAACCAGTAATTTTTTTATCTCTCTCTGGGGTAATAAAAACTGATTCTTAACCCAATCTTTCATACAAAAGACTAAGTTCACCACTTAGTTTGCAAACAGATTACTCACTATGATCACTCACTTTTCTAACAAATATCTAAATATAATAAAGCAAATTCAAAGAATATAAAATCATATTTCTGAAACGTTATTAAAACCATTTACATACATACGTTCTAAATGTTCTACTATCAATCTCTAACAATATTTCTTTTATGATTTTGATCGTAATTTACAATTTTTAGCTTTAAAGTAAATTATTATAATACTTTTTCCACAATAGAGCAGCTATTGTGAAAACTGTTGACTGTAACAGCAAAGTACATGCCACAAATACTCAAATAGCCTTAGAAACATAATAGTTTACAACAAATAAACTAGAAAAAAAATTTCATAAAAATACTATAAAATTTCTATATTAATAAATAACTTCAGAATATCGAGAAAGAGAGTGAAAAAAACATAGTAACATTTTAAAATAATGGAAACTGTATAGGAAAAAACTCGAATCAATTTTTATACAAACAAGTATTTACTTAATACATATTTACATTCATATACTGCTTTATATAACATACAAATTCGCACTTGTATCTATAACTGTATATGACTATAATAGAAATTTAAATAAATATTTGTTAAGTACGTATATTGTAATAATAATAAATATAAAACTGAAAAAAAAAGTCAAACAGAAAATATTATATATTTACTTATTTATGTATGTATATGTGGTAACATCACTAGTTGAGTGATATATGTTTTAAATATTGTTACAATTAATGTTCTAAAACCCATCATCCATTCAGGGAAATTATTGTTGTTTGTATTCTCACTCAGTATTTATATTTATATGTATATTCAGTATTTGTTTGTAAATACTGTTGTAACACTTTATTTATAGTGCAATTGTTATTTTTATGTGCCATTTTATTATTTTTCAGAAGAGTTAAAAAAAATGTATATATAAATTGAAATACAGTGAATTAAAGTGAAAATTATTAGAATTCATTTAGAGGTAAATGATTCATTAGGCAAATATGTACGTTTTAAGATCAACTCGATATGAAATGCTGGAAAAATCTCTGCTTAGGTGATCTTCAGATCAGAATAATTTCCAACTAGTCATTGTCATGACTTTAATCAATATTTTTCCACCTTGAAACCTTTATCACCCAAGAGGAAAACAATCAAACATTTAAATTCGCAAAGCAGCTGACGAGAATTTTCAGTGATTTTGTTGAAGACTTAAGACCCCAGCTGGGATCGATAGATCGGAATAATTAAGGGTAAAGACCGCTACGGGGATCGACAGAATAATCAATATTTTAGAGACATATCGGTTCAATTTCTTTTAAACACGTCACTATAACGATGACTTAGTCATTCTCTCTGCTATGCAAAAGCGTGTTCAGATCAGACAGCCAATTCCATCGCTATTTAAGGATTGATCTTTTACTAGAGCGATATGAAAGATTTCTTGTTGTTAATTACCAACAATAAAGGATTAGACAGAATGGATCAATTATGGTATATTGATTGTAACTTAACAAAAGATGAAGGATATAATCTTAAGTGTTACAAGCACTTTGTTCATGAGTAAAGACCACTATGTATTGTGGTCGATAGATCAGAATAAAGAATAGACAGGACATTTTAAGTTAAAACAAGTTCACTTTGCCCACAGTATTTACTTTGTAAATTGCATAATTTTTAACGAATTGACGTAATGAAAATATGTTTTTTTAACAAAATATTTAATAATAACAACAATAAAAGTTAAATGCATAAATAATAAATATCTTTAAAAAATCTGGTATAGTTCAACATGAACGACTTAATATTTGTAAATTTAAAGTGATATTAAACAGATAATCCCGACCGGGTAGACGAACGTATTTTAAATTTTTTTAAGAAAGAAATCTTTTTTAAATTTTAACGTTACAACAAAAAAGATAAAGTTTTTATCAAGACGACTTTGAATAAATAAGTGAACCTGCCGCCAGACATTTGCCACAAATTTCACAGAGTTATAGTAAAAATTTTAAGGTATTCAATGTATACAGAGTTTAAATTGATAGTGGCAGATCATTGGGCAAGGCTTAATCTTCTCAGGAACTGATTCCGGTAGACTTGGTACAACCTAAGGTGAAAATGGGAACAATATCTTTAAGCGTTACAAACTTTACATTAAATTCTTTATATCCTAACCACTAAAGTGTTGTAGCCTATAAATATTTTGTATTTTTAAATAGTCAACAAAAAACTAACAGGAAATTAACACAATTTTTATATTAGTAAAAAAAATTTAAATAATTTTAACAATATATAAAGGCACTTACTTGTTGACACAAAAAAAACGCCAAAATATACATTTTATTTCTTATTTTAGTTAGTTTTATGGAAAAACAATATAAAACAAACACTTTTTAACTGTTTAACAAAGAAAAACTATAAATTTAATTGAATTTTATAAAATATATCAACATACATTCCTAAAAAGCAGGAAGGTTTGGCAGACTTTTATATTTTTAATTTTTTATACAAAAAAAACACTTTTCAACACTACATTTTATATTTATTTGTTTAATGATTATTGTTCTTTAAAAATATCACCCTTTTTGGCAAATTAAATGATTTATTTACTTATTTGTTTAAATTTATTCAACATTTGTCTCCAAAAAAAATATTAAGAATACTTGTGTTTTATTGACACTACAAAAAACAACTGACAAATGTAAACAAAAAAAGGAAAACGGAATAGCGGTAAAAAACAAGGTTGCCAATTAGTTACAATTAAACGAAGTAGGGGTGCATCGTGTGTGTGTGTGACATTAATTAAAGGATAATTAGACATTTTTTGTTTAAAATAAATATTAACCCATTTCTGTATAAAAAAAAACTTTTCTTAAACATATTGTGATCCACTTAAGTGGTTTTATGCCATTTTATTTACTCATTATTTTGGTTGACATAACAATTTAAATTTCTTAGTATTTTTCAAAACAAATCATTTATTTAACCAAAAAATAAATCTTCTCATTTTATAAGATGAATGAATGAATGAAGTTTTTGTATATTATTTGACTTATTACTTAACAATTGTTGGTATTATTTATTTGAAAATATTTTTCTCGTTTTCTTATTAGGACAAAATTGAGTTTATACGAAAGCCACAAAAAAATAAGAACGAAACGAAATAGTAATAAAAAAAAATAAAAGAGTATTGGAATCTTGTTAGACCAAAATGGATATTGTATTTTAACAATTTCTATTTTAGAGTCCTGCTACATACTCGACAATATGTTTATGTACATTCGTACACACATATTATATATGTCCATATAACATGTCAATAAAGGAATCGTTCAAATGCTTGAAAAATTAATGCAACATACATCTACGGAACAAAATAAAGCTGCGTATAAAATCTCCTATAATATAAGAAAATAGAAAATTTAATAAAACTAGTAGAAAACTAAACAGGAATTATATTCTGTTATAAAGGACCAAATAATACCCTACATCGGCTAAGAATACATTAAAAGTGAGATCCGGAAAGTGGCTATTTATAATATATGTAGATCAATTATGGTTTTTGTCGTAAAAAGTGGAAAATGTCAGTCATGAAGAACAGGTATCCCAGCTTCGATTCTAAACATTGATTCTAGGTGTTATCAGTCCATATTTTTGGTTGTTTTAAATATCAACACTATTGCATTATACTTTTTTTAGTATAGAGGTCTAGGGCATAAAAACAAACTAACCTCACCAAATGATTTTGAAATTTCATTCTACGACTATGAGTACTTTGCTAAAAATGGTTTTATGAAAATAAGATTTTCTCTGCTCCCAATAAAAAATACTACTATTTTTTTAAATAGTAAAAAAATACTTTACTTTCTCTATATTTTTGTGTTTTTTCTGGCTATGAAGCTGATATGTCTGCTTGTTTAGCTTCCGGTCTAATACATTTTCTATATTGTATTTGACACTTTTTTCTCTTCAACGCAAAAAGTATTTTACAATTTTGTTTCGTAAATATGAGCAAATGTCATATACATTTAAAATTTTGGCAGTTTATTTTTTTTTTTTTTTTTTTTTTTGAGTGGCTGGGGAGTATTTTTGCTGGTGAGAGGTCACAAAAATTCATATATTTTTATATAAACAAGTTGGGTAGTGGGTGCTCTTTTAGTAGTTTTTAGAGCATAAAGAAGAACATCATATTTCTAGTCACGTTCATAGCATAAATGTTGAAAATTTTTTCAATTTTCAATTTCTTACAAAATGTCTTTGCAAAGTGTATAGAAAATAAAAGCAAAGTACTTATGTTCGTACCACACTAACTACAACTAGCATATTCGTTTTTTCGCATATTAAATGCAGAAATAATATTTTTAGTTCATTTAAGTGTTTTCGGGTACTTTACGGTTTCCTGGTATTGCGTGTAAGTTTAAATTGTTTGAAAGATATGTCTTGCATTTAAGTAGAATTCGTATTTAGCAAACATATTTAGTTAGGTGACAAATTTCGGTCTGTATACAATTTTAAAAGGATATTTTTTAATGGCAGATATTAAAAATTATTAACGAATAATAAAAAGCAATAAAATTTTATAGGTAGCTAATAATAAATTTATTAAACACAGTTTAAAACTTAATAAATTACCTTGAAAAATGCTTCAATTGCTCTAGTTTCTTATAATACTTAAATATGGCTTTAAACTTGATTAAGCTTTTATTTGCCTAATAAAAAAACCTTTACCCGCTAAATATATTCGAAAATAACGGCATCTCTTTTCTAAACAAAACTCCTAACTGCAACATATTGCAATCTGGCAATACCCTTCAAACTGTCACTGATCTTTCTACGCTTTTTTTGACAAACAGATGGCAGCTCAAAAATGGCGGCGAATTTTTGTAAACAAAACAAATAAAAAAATTTGCAAGCATTCAAACGAATTTGCAAATTAATTAAATTTTAATAAAAATACATAGAAACTAATAACATAATTATGAAATTATTGGCCTCAAAACGTGCGGTACATGTAGAAGTGTGTTTAAAACAATTAACGGGGTAAGAAGAAGTAAAATCGGAGTTAAATGAAAAGTAACAGCAATTTCTTTATTTAGACGCCTGGAACAGGTACAAGCTGTATTGGAAGAACCTTTAAAGGATTTATTAGGTAGAAAACAATTGCCTTTCAACGATAGCATTAAGTTCCAAAAGGAGGAATTGGAAAATGAGGTGTTGTACAATGTGGAAAGTGTTCTGATGGAATGTGAGTCGAAGCAGGAAGGAGAGGTAAGTGCCTAATTACATATACTTTTTAGTAAATGCACAAATATATGATCATAGGTGCCACACCCTCCTTAATGTGTATGAACAATCTTATAATATTTGCATGAGTTGAATACAGTTCATTAATTTTTAAAACATTTTGATAAATTTGGCATTAATTGCTTGATTAACCCAAGAACAAATAAGACTGATTGATATTGGTTCAAACCCGCTACAAAGATATCTTTATAAACATATGTATATGTATGTAAGTATTTATGTATGTATATATTTTTATTTATTTCCAGTTATCTTCCCCTGAAGATGCAGAATACTTCGTTTTTCACTTCTATTGGCCACAAAGACGTGCCATGGAATTGGAAATGTTTGATACTGAGGGTGGATCAGGCGGCGGTGATGATGATTCTAACTCTGTACCCTCCTCCAATCATTGGATTTTACCTTCTCAATCCTTCGAAGGTCTCTGGCAACATTTAATTTATGACAAAGGTCTCAAAGAAAAACTCTTAAGGTTTGCCGTTTCAGCATTGCTATTCTCTCAACATAATGTCAACCACAATATAATATCCTGCAATCGTCTAATACTGTTACATGGTCCACCCGGTACTGGTAAGACTAGCTTGTGTAAAGCTTTGGCCCAAAAGCTGTCTATAAGATGTCGTTCGGTATTTAAACATACACACCTCATAGAAATTAATTCGCATTCATTGTTTTCCAAATGGTTTTCCGAAAGCGGTAAATTGGTTATGCGTTTGTTCAGTAAAATCAAAGAAATCATAGCAGATCGCCACAATTTGGTTTGCGTACTCATAGATGAGGTAGAATCTTTGGCCTATGCTAGGGATTGTATGTCGGGTCAAGAACCCAAAGATGCCATGCGTGTAGTAAATGCTTTATTAACACAATTGGACAGCATTAAAGAGCATCCTAATGTCCTAATATTGGCTACTTCCAATTTAGCCGACACCATAGATTTGGCTTTTTTGGATAGAGCTGATATTAAGCAATACATTGGCTTACCCAATGAACTGGCCATAAGGAAAATCTATGAATCCATGCTCACGGAATTGATGAGAGTTGGTTTGCTGGAGTCGTGTGATTCTTTTCAAACAGAAGATAAACATGAGGGATCACTTAAGGAACTGGCCAAAAGAAGTAAAGGTCTTAGTGGTCGTACCTTGAGGAAGTTGCCCTTTTTAGCTCATGCCACCTATTGCTTTAATATGGAATTTGATTGTTCTCAAAAAATAATTATGGCCAATTTTCTAGATGCTTTGCTAGAAGCCTTGGAAAAATATCATCAAGATCAGCAATTAATGAAATCAAATAAAAATGTTTAAACTTTAAACAAAAATTAACATTTGTTTTTTCTCTATTTCAATTTCAATCGCAAAATTTGTCTAAACGTATTCTAAACAAATATTAATCATTTCTTTTTGCTTTTTTAGTCATCATTTGGTATATTGGTGTTGACTTTTAATTGTTACAACAATGTTTTCGATTTTAAATTTGATTTTTTATTTCCCTATATTTTTACATTTTCACACATATGTATACTCCCACCCACATTGAAATTTGTCTCCCACTAAATCAATTTTTTTTCGTCCGACTATTTACTTAGTAAATTTTCCAATTTTTTGTACGTTTCTTTCCTATTTTTGTGTTAAAATGAATATTGTTGGGTTCGTTCATACTTTTTGTTTATTACACATCCATTTAAATTCTATAACATTTGGAGTTATTTGCTTTTTCACAATTTAGGACAAAATAATTGTTATAGAATCATTGATTGTGGACGATGATTTACGGCAAGTTTTGAATGGAATTCTCTTAGTTTTTTCTCGTTTTGCTTAATGGAAAATTATTTAACATGAAATGTAGCAATTTGGTAAAGTTAAATTTTACGTAGATGTGCAATTTGTAGAGTTTCAAGGGTTTTAGGCTTGGTTGACTTTTAAGCTCAAAAGTAGATGTGATCACACCTTTTTGCTCAAAATATCGATTTTTTTATAAAAATTAAAAGTGATCACAGATTGAGCTTATATTGAAAAAAAAAAAACAGTATTTACAGAGATGTAAGGGTTTTTAGGTTTGGTCGACTTTTTGGCTCAAAATATAGATTTTTTATAAAAAGTATAAGTGATCACATATTAAGCTTATTTTCTCGAAAGCCCCAGTATTTACTGAGTTACAAAGGTTTTTAGGTTTAGTCGTCTATTTGGCTCAAAATTTCGATTTTTTATAAAAAGTAGAAGTGGTCACAGATTAAGCTTATTTTCTCGAAAAACCCAGTATTTACTGAGTTACAAGGGTTTTTAGGTTTAGTCGTCTATTTGGCTCAAAATATCGATTTTTTATAAAAAGTAGAAGTGATCACAGATTAAGCTTATTTTCCCGAAAAACCCAGTATTTACTGAGTTACAAGGGTTTATAGGTTTAGTCGTCTATTTGGCTCAAAATGTCGATTTTTTGAAAAAAATTAGAAGTGATCACAGATTAAGCTTATTTTCCCGAAAAACTCAGTATTTACTGAGTTACAAGGGTTTTTAGGTTTGGTCGACTTTTAGATTCAAAATATCGATTTTTTATAAAAAGTAGAAGTGATCACAGATTAAGCTTATTTTCCCGAAAAACCCAGTATTTACTGAGTTACAAGGGTTTATAGGTTTAGTCGTCTATTTGGCTCAAAATGTCGATTTTTTGAAAAAAATTAGAAGTGATCACAGATTAAGCTTATTTTCCCGAAAAACTCAGTATTTACTGAGTTACAAGGGTTTTTAGGTTTGGTCGACTTTTAGATACAAAATATCGATTTTTTATAAAAAGTAGAAGTGATCACAGATTAAGCTTATTTTCTCGAAAAACACAGTATTTACTGAGTTACAATGGTTTTTAGGTTTGGTCGACTTTTTGGCTCAAAATATAGATTTTTTATAAAAAGTAGAAGTGATCACAGATTAACCTTATTTTTTCAAAAAAAAAAAAAAAACAGTATTTACTGAGTTACAAGGGTTTTTAGTTTTGGTCGTCTATTTGGCTCAAAATATAGATTTTTTATAAAAAGTAGAAGTGATCACAGATTGAGCTTATTTTCTCGAAAAAACAGTATGTACTGAGTTACAAGGGTTTTTAGGTTTGGTCGACTTTTTGGCTCAAAATGTCGATTTTTTGTAAAAGGTAGAAAGAAGTATCACAGATTAGCTTATTTAAAAAAAAAACCCAGTATTTACTGAGTTACAAGGGTTTTTAGGTTTGGTCGACTTTCTGACTCAAAATATCGATGTTTTATAAAAAGTAGAAGTGATCACAGATTAAGCTTATTTTTTCAAAAAACCCAGTATTTATGAGTTACAAGGGTTTTTAAGTTTGGTCGTCTATTTCGCTCAAATTATGGATTTTTTATATGAAGTAGAAGTGATCGCAGATTAAGCTTATTTTTTCAAAAAACCCAGTATTTACTGATTTGCAAGGGTTTTTAGGTTTGGTCGACTTTTAGATTCAAAATATAGATTTTTTTAAAAAGTAGAAGTGATCACAGATTAAGCTTATTTTCTCGAAAAACCCAGTATTTACTGAGTTACAAGGGTTTTTAGGTTTAGTCGTCTATTTGGCTCAAAATGTCGATTTTTTGAAAAAAAATAGAAGTGATCACAGATTAAGCTTATTTTTTCAAAAATCCAGTATTTACTGTGTTACAAGGGTTTTTAGATTTGGTCGTATATTTGGCTCAAAATATAGATTTTTTATAAAAAGTAGAAGTGATCACAGACTAACCTTATTTTCTCGAAAAACTCAGTATTTACTGAGTTACAAGGGTTTTTAGGTTTAGTCGTCTATTTGGCTCAAAATATCGATTTTTTATAAAAAGTAGAAGTGATCACAGATTAAGCTTATTTTCTCGAAAAACCCAGTATTTACTGAGTTACAAGGGTTTATAGGTTTAGTCGTCTATTTGGCTCAAAATGTCGATTTTTTGAAAAAAATTAGAAGTGATCACAGATTAAGCTTATTTTTTCAAAAATCCAGTATTTACTGTGTTACAAGGGTTTTTAGATTTGGTCGTATATTTGGCTCAAAATATCGATTTTTTATAAAATATAAGGGTTTTAAGGTTTGGTCGACTTTTTGACTCAAAATATCGATTTTTTATAAGAAGTAGAAGTGATCGCAGATTAAGCTTATTTTCTCGAAAACCCCAGTATTTACTGAGTTACAAGGGTATTTAGATTTGGTCGACTTTTTGGCTCAAAATATCGATTTTTTATAAAAAGTAGAAGTGATGACAGATTAAGCTTATTTTCTCGAAAAACCCAATATTTACAGTGTTACAAGGGTTTTTAGTTTTGGTCGACTATTTGGCTCAAAATATAGATTTTTTATAAAAAGTAGAAGTTATCACAGATTAACCCCCTCATTTTATAAAACGAAACGACAAACGTTCAAAAAAATTTGTATGGAAAAAATTCAAATTTTCAAAAATTTCCCAGTATTCTTCATACAAATTTTTTACGTTAACGAGAGTTTCGTTTTATAAAATGAGGGGGTAAGCTTATTTTCTCGAAAAAAAAACAGTATTTACTGAGTTACAAGGGTTTTAAGGTTTGGTCGTCTATTTGGCTCAAAATATCGATTTTTTATAAAAAAAAGAAGTGATCACAGATTAAGCTTATTTTTGCATAAATCCCAGTATTTACTGAGTTACAAGGGTTTTTAGGTTTGGTCGACTTTTTGCTCAAAATATCGATTTTTTATAGAGAGTAGTAGTGATCACAGATTAAGCTTATTTTTTCTAAAAACCCAGTACTTACTGAGTTACAATGGTTGTTAGGTTTGGTCGACTTTTTGACTCAAAATATGGATTTTTTAAAGAAGTAGAAGTCATCACAGATAAAGCTTTTTTTCTCAAAAAACCCAGTATTTACTGAGTTACAATGGTTGTTAGGTTTGGTCGACTTTTTGACTCAAAATATGGATTTTTTAAAGAAGTAGAAGTCATCACAGATAAAGCTTTTTTTCTAAAAAAAACCCAGTATTTACTGAGTTATAAGGGTTTTTAGGTTTAATCAACTTTTTTGCTTAAAATATCAACTTTTCATAAAAAGTAGAAGTGATCACAGATTGAGCTTATTTTCCCAAAAAAACCCAGTATTTACTGAGTTATAAGGGTTTTTAGGTTTGGTCGACTTTTTGACTCAAAATATCGATTTTTTATAATTATCGATTTTTTTGGTCGTCTATTTGGCTCCAAATATCGATTTTTTATAAAAAGTAGAAGTGATCACATATTAAGCTTATTTTCTCAAAAAACCCATTATTTACTAAGTTACAAGGGTTTTTAGGTTTGGTCGACTTTTTGAATCAAAATATCGATTTTTTTATAAAAAGTAGATGTGATCACATATTAGGCTTATTTTCTCGAAAAAGCCAATATTTACTGAGTTACAAGGGTTTTTAGGTTTGGTCGTTTAATTGGCTCAAAATATAAATTTTTTATAGGAAGTAGAAGTGATCACAGATTAAGCTTATTTTCTCGAAAAACCCAGTATTTACTGAGTTACAAGGGTTTTTAGGTTTAGTCGACTATTTGGCTCAAAATATCGATTTTTTTATAAAAAGTAGAAGTGATCACAGATTAAGCTTATTTTTTCATAAAACCCAGTATTTACTGAGTTACAAGGGTTCTTAGCTTTGGTCGACTTTATGGCTCAAAATATCGACTTTTCATAAAAAGTAGCAGCGATCACAGATATAGCTTTTTTCCTCAAAAAACCCAGTATTTACTGAGTTACAAGGGTTATTAGGTTTGGTCAACTTTTTGTCTCAAAACAAGGTTTTTTGTAAATAGTTGAAGTGATCACAAATTAAAATTACTTTCTCATAAAACGCAGTATTTACTGAGTTATAAAGGATTTTAGGTTTGGTCGACTTTTTGGTTAAAAATGTCGATTTTTCTTAAAAAGTAGAAGTGATCGCAAATTGAGCTTATTTTCGCAAAAAACCGGTATTTACAGAGTTATAATGGTTATATTTACATTTTTATTTTGTTTGCCAAATTCGAGAGAATATGGGTTTTATTAAATATGAGTTTGATGGATTGTTTCTATTTTTTTCTGATAATTATATTAATTGATTAGTCTAATTTATTTATTTGTCTCAAAATCTAAAAGCCCATTATTCGAAAAACTGCATTCGCAAGATCCAAATGGACGTATACTTGTGATCTACATACATACATATGTATATTCCTCTAAAAACTTATTTTTATTATACTTTTTTGTCGGTTACGAACAATTCTATGCCAAAAAGGATTTTCTACTTTTTCTCTCTAACAAGATAGACGTTTTTAAAGCAATC